CTGCCTCTAAATTCACTGCCCGGCTGTCAGCGTCCTGGCTACTGCTGCTTGGCCGGTGGTTCTGCCGTCTGTCCCTCTGCGCGCCATGGATCCCGCCCCCTCTATGATAAAGATCCCATCGGTGGAGCAAAGGAGTTTGCACAAGGCCCGGGGTTAGTGTTGCACCACCAGGGGGCAGCACGGGAGCCACCTGGTCTCCAGGAAAATAGTCCCAAAGAGCCACATCAGGGCTACTGAAAAGACCCCATTTGCACCAACGCCAGACTTTTTGTTGCCTTATCAGGCAAAGGGTTTACCCTTGGGCCTGGGTGAAATGGCCGCTGAGGTTTACAGAGGCTTCTGATGGCAAAAAAAAAAGCCGTGTAAATAGGCAACAGTCAGGGCTAGAATAGTGCCTGCTCCAGCAGGAGTTGTCTTTCAGAATTAAGTGGTTGTAGACGTGTAGCTTCCAGGAGGTGTCTGTGGAGCATCCAGGAGCTTCCAGGTTGCTGTGACAACAGGCCAGGTGGATGCCAAGAGGGGGCTGCTTGGATGGTAGTCATGACAGCCAAATGCCAGGGAAGGGCTGGATGGATGGTTGTCAGGGTCACCCTAGCCTCCAACATACTCTCTTTCCTTTTTAAAGACAAAATAAGCCTTAAAGGGAATTCTCTTTTTTGTTGTTGTTGTTGTTTGTTTTGTTTTTCGAGACAGGGTTTCTCTATATAGCTTTGGAGCCAGTCCTGGCACTCGCTCCAGAGACCAGGCTGGCCTCGAACTCCCAGAGATCTGCCTGCCTCTGCCTCCTGAGTGCTGGGATTAAAGGCGTGCACCACCAACGCCCGACTTTTCAAGGGGATTCTTACCATAAAATCCTATTACAGACACTGACAGTGCTTTAACACTGTCATACAGAGGCCAGAGGAGAATGTTAGATGTCCTGCTCTGCCACTCTCTGCCTTATTCTCTTGATATAGGGTCTGAACCTGAGCTAGGCTGGTGACCAGAGGGCCCCCTAAAGCCCTGGGGTTCCAGGCATGCTGATGACCACTCATTTTTTTAAAGATTTTATTTATTTATTTATTATGTGTACAACATTCTGCTTCCATGTGTATCTGCACACCAGAAGAGGGCACCAGATCTCATAATGGATGGTTGTGAGCCACCATGTGGTTGCTGGGAATTGAACTCAGGACATCTGGAAGAGCAGTCAGTGCTCTTAACCTCTGAGCCATCTCTCCAGCCCCCGATGACCACTCGTTTTATTTTACATATGTGCTAGGGTTTGAACCCAAGCCTCATGTTTGCTCAGCAAGATTTCTTACCTGATGAGATGTCTCCCATGCTCTTAGTATTTCTAATTATTTAATTTAAAATCTTTTATTGATAAATAGGCCACATAGTATAAATTTGCCCATTTTACAACACAGTGACTTTTTGTGTGGTGTATTCGTAGGGATTTTAAAACACTTTTGACATTTCCAACATGCAGAAAAAAAAATGCATTGTGCTCATATTTACCCCTCATCTCCTTCATTCCTAGGGAACCCTTTATTTTTCCCAATTAGCACCCCTCCTGCTTTCCTGTCTTTTTTTTTTGTGTCACTCATCAATCACTTATTCTCAGTGACTTCAGTAGCTGTCACCATTACAAATGGACAACTCCTTGTCCAAGGCTGAGAGCAGCACTGTTTTATGAGTAGAAACACAAATACTTAGAAGGCCGTTTTAGAGGTCCATTTAGCCCAACTAATAGTAGACCCCACCCCACCCTGACTCTTCCAGAGTCTTCGATCTCCTTAGCCTTGGACTTTTTTTCTTTTGGTTTTCTGAGACAGGTTTTCTCTGTGGCTTTGGAGGCTGTCCTGGAACTAGCTCTTGTAGACCTGGCTGGTATCAAACTTACAGAGATCCACCTGTCTCTGCCTCCAGAGTGCTGGGATTAAAGGCGTGTGCCACCACCGCCCGGCTTCCACCTTTATTTTTGAGACGAGGTCTCATTGAACCTGGGGCTCACTGTTGAGGCTAGGCCTGGCTGGCCACCAAGTTCTGGGAATCTACTTGTCTCCAAGGCTAAAATTACACACGTGTTCTGCCACCCCTAGTTTTTATACGGGTGCTGAGGATCCAAACTCAGGCCACCTCTTTTTGTTTTGTTTTGTTTTTTGAGACAGGGTTTCTCTGTGTAACAGCCGGGCCATCCTGGAACTCTCTCTCTAGACCAGGCTGGCCTTGAACTCACAGAGATCCTCTTGCCTCTGCCTCCCGAGTACTGGGATTAAAGGCGTGTGCCACCAACACCTGGCCAGCCTTGGACTTTTAACAAGGTTTACAGTACCAGGCATGAATTCCTTCCTATGGAGCTAGCCAAAGATCCGATCAGAAAGTGGTTAGTTGCCCCCAAACAGTTATGACACTATTACACCAATGGACATAGCTTGCCTCATCAGCTGGTATTATAACAGGCAGGACCCATGGTTGGGTAAAAAAACTTTGGTAACTTTTCTGTCCCAGCAGGCTACAAAGCACATTCTGGTACCATGAAGCTAGCCAGCCAGCAGGGAGGAAGCTTCTAGTTCAGGTCCAGCTTGATGTATCTGTATCCTGCAGCAAAGTGTGTGGTGTCTTCAGCAATATGAGTTTACCATCCAGTTCTGACAGGCAACCCAGAGAAATGGCCATAGCCTGTATTGTTTGGGGGCCTCTGGGACCTCCCTCTCTCTCATAGGGAGACATTTTATGCCTGGCCTTGAAATTTTCATTTAGTAACTTTGGCTCCTAGGAGTATTCAGAGGTATTCATGTAGAACACCCCCATACAAATGTCTTTAGTTTTTAATTTTTTGGTAAATAATGTTTCCAGTTCGTGTGCATGTTTTTGGTAACCGTCTCTCATACCCCATCTTTTCCCCATCTCCCGCTCCACCCCATATTAACACTTTCCATGCCTCATATACCTTCCATCTTTAAAATTCCATGTGTATTCCTATGTCCCTCCCTCATCATGGGTCCTGTCTTGCTTTCTGACCTCTGCTCGCTCATTCCAATTTGAGCTCAGAAACCTGAAAATTCAGATCTAAGGTCCACAAATGAGAGACTGCATGTGGCACCCGGGTTACCTCACCAGGGAGCAAATTTTCCAATTCCATCAACTTGTGTGTTAGGAAGTATGGTAATTTTAGTATATATTTTTAGACCCCCGAAAACTCAAGTATCCGGGGTCCCAGGCCACGTTCGGGCGTTGGTGGCGCACACCTTTAATCCCAGCACTCGGGAGGCAGAGGCAGGCGGATCTCTGTGAGTTCGAGGCCAGCCTGGTCTCCAGAACAAGTGCCAGGATAGGCTCCAAAACACAGAGAAACCCTGTCTCGAAAAAACAAAAACAAAAACAACAAAAATAAACAAATAGATCTGGTTATGAAGCATATCCTAGCATATCTTTTGTATATCAAAATTACATAATGAATGAGAGATTATCTTCCTGACTAACCACAGATATATGTGCTCATACGGTTGAGAGGCAATCATATCACACGTGATTACACACTGTAATGCAGGTACTGGGGAGACACCAAGCTGCCTTAGCAAAAGTGAGAAACAGTTTCCAGTCTGTCCTGTAGGTCTTGCCTGAACTGGATTAACTTTAATAGGAGAATCATTCCTCTGTTGGGTTGGCAACTGAATTGTCAGTTGCTATCTGCTTTATATTTCCACGGCCTCTGACACTAGACTATTTCTCCAGCACCACGTCTGTCTGCACACCACCAGGCTCACCGCCATGACAGACTGAGCCTCTGAACTGTAAGCGAGCCACCACAATTTACTGTATTCGTTTATAAGAGTTGCCATGGTCATGGAATCTCTTCACAGCAATTGTAACCCTACCTAAGACACACAACAACAGAAAAGTAACTGGTTTATTTTCCTAGCTGTTCCAGTTTTTCTTGCTGGGGGATTCCTACACTAAATCCTCACTCCAACTCTACTAGAAAATACCAGCCATCATTCTATTTAAAGGTGATGAAACCAAGTCAGAGAGGAACCAGGTAACTCACCAGGCTTGTAAACGGTAAAGCTAGAAACTCTCTCTCTTCCTCCTTCTACTTCTCCCCGCATCCAGTCATCCATCACTTCATCCAGCCACGCCTCTAATCACCTTTCTCTGTGACTCCCAATCTCCCCAGTACTTCCCCCACTCTGGCCATCTGCTGGTGCAGCCACCGTCCCCTCCTAATGGAGACGCACCCTCATCCGTGTCTCCCACAGTGGGGAGCACTATGGGGAGACAGCAGGAGGCAGACACACAACTTGGGTCAAGATATTTACTCAATGCTTTCAGATTTGGCCTCAGTGGCTCAGCAAAGGGGAGGGGCAGGGAAGGGACACACGGGCGGGCATCCTTCAATCACTGTAACTTCTGGAAGAGGCAGGTCTTGAGGAGTCCGTCAGTGATGACTGATCAGTTGGAACTGCAAGAGACAGACACTTAGCACAGCGTCCTGCAGACTGAGCACCCACCCACGCTACGTCTTTCCCCAGTTCCCAAAAGTCTGGCTTCCATTCTCCATCCTCACCATGGGGAGAAGTCCTGTGCTCTCCACTTCTCCATCGGTGTCTTCCCCTGAGATTGACGTATGTCATTATTTGGGTACCCATCGAAGTTTCCACAGGCCCCACACAGCAAGGCCACATGGTCGTCACCGACCATCACATTTAGCTGCCCGTCTGTTCCAAGCCAGACCTGGACCCCTGCCTTCTGGTGGACGAGCACAGAGCCATCGGGCAACCTCCTCACAGACACAGATGTTAACACCTGGGCCGGGAGATCCACTCGGAGACCGTTCACCTGGTGTAGGGGGAGGGGAGATAAAGACGGGAGACTTGAGTGACAGAATAGCTGAGGGACCACCAGGGCTGGAGTCCTCATGCACAACAACAATTCAAGCAAAGGGGCAGGTGCTGGAAAGGATGGGCCTTGGAGAGGAGGGTTATACGGAAGACGGATAGGTGGAAAGATAGCTGGAGATGTGTCCATACACAGATACTGTGGATTATATGCTCATTGTTAAATAAAAGTGGATTGGCCAATAGCTGGGCAGGAAGAGATTGATCGAGAGAGCCAGACTAAGAGAATTCTGGGAAGAAGGGTGGAGTCAGAGAACTGCTGGCAAACACAAGAGGAGCAAGATGAGAATGCTGTGCCAAGTCACGTGGCTAAACATTGGTAAGTATTATTGGTTAAGTGCGAGAGTTAGCTAGTAGCAAGCCTGAGCTATTAGCCTCTGTGTGGCAATTTGGGTAGTGGCTGCTGGGTGTTTGGGACAGGAAATGACTGCTTACACCCAGCTCACTGTGCATGCTTAGGACCATGGCAGTGTGACTCCCAAATTAGCTTGCTGATATTTTCAGAGTCTTTTTGTTTAGTGTTGAGGTTATCAGAGGATGGAGGGATGGGTCAACGGATCCTCACAATATTCTGAAGCTGGGGAAAGAGCTTGGAACAGACAGATAAGCAAGCAACTGAGCAAATCTGGGGTCACGCCTCAGGTTCTAGTTTTCAGAATGAAATAATGATTTAGCATGTCCTGTTTGACAGCTCTTCCCTGTTGCCCTGTTTCTTCACATCCTCTCATTGTGGTCATTCTCAGTTCTCAACACAACCATGCACTGAGTTCTTAGAGGGGTTCATAGAACCCGGAAATTGACTGAGGGAACCCCAACACTTCATGCGATGCCAGCTTGGCAAATCATAGCATTCCACCATCAAGATTAGAAGTGGGCAGGCAGTCCAGGCTAGCCCAGTGAGATGTAGTCCTAGGGCTTGTTTTGGATCAATTTCTGCGGAGGTGGCCAGACTGAGGCAGGTGGTGCTTCCCTTCACGAAAACAAAACTGTCTAGGACTGGGGTTGAAAGCCAGGCATAGCGACACTCCTCTTTAATCCCAACACTTAGGAGGTAGATACAGGTAGATCCCTGTGAGTTCAAGGCTAGTCTGATCTACAGAGTGAATTTCAGGACAGCTAGTGTTACACAAACACATACATACATCTGGTCTTAAAAAGATTAAAAAATAGACATTGACTTCAGGGACAAGTCTGAAACTTAGAGGTGTAAACTCCTGACAGTGTAGCTGGAGTGGTGATGCCATCTCTGGGTTTCCCAGATATGGAGCCAGTCCGTTCATTTTCCCCTAAGGCACTTTGTACTCAGTACAAGCTTGATTAAAACGAACAGCAAAGCTATGCTGTTACTTGCACGTAAGAACCCAGGCCAAGGAGAAGGACCTGGGCTGACCTGCAGAGGCAGGTACAAATCCCTAAAGAAGTGCAGAGACCTGGATGAAGGAAACAGGCTGCAAGGTCACTGGGTAGCCAGGCTGTGGGACACCATGACAGGAAGAAGGACAGCCCAGGGAAGACGTCCCTGCCTCTGTGCCCAGGCTTACCCAAGCGCCCTTGCTTTGGGACACAGTCACAATTCCATCCTGGAAGAAGATGTGGACCTTGCTCAGGACCTTGTCGTTACCATGGCAAGACTGGACATCAGCAACCACACGGTACCAGGGCACAGTCTTCTGGAGTCCCGGGCATCGAGATGAAAGCTCATAGACACCAGGGGAGCTGATGACACTGTGAGCCCCATCGAAGGTGACGAGGTTAGACCCCATGGAGAGGGAGCAGAGACCTTTGGCTGGCCAACAATCCCGAACTCCTGCTCGGATCTCGCACACTCGGCCAGATGGGCAGCCAGCAGCATGGCACGTCAGGCCGGTTCTTGGGGAGCAGATACAGCGCTTTGTGCAGCCTGAGGTCATCAGTGAGGTGTTCACCTGTGCACAGAAAGGGGTGGATGGTATGCTTCATGCAGGGAGCCTGGAGAAGCTCCCAGTAAGAAATAGTGTGTGTGTCCTCCACCCAATGGTAGTCTCAATGACCCTCAGACTGATTTGTCACCTAGCAGAGGCCAGGCTGTGACAAGCTCATGTTTTAACTCAAGATCCTTGACAGTCCACCCCATCACCACCCTGTCTCAGATTGTGCTGTTACAGTGAGAATGACCCTGGGCTAGTCCATTGGAGGATGAGCCGCCACATGGTACAGACAGTGATCCCAGCTCGGGCCGCTTGCCACGGCTTGAATATGGCTTGTTGCCCTGAACCCTATAGGACTTGAGTCCTCAAGGTTTTGTATTAATGGAGACATCATCCAAGTATGGAGTTTAGAAGTTGGGACTCTGGTTATGTCAAGAAAGCATGAATGATCCTAGAAGCTCTTGAAAAACTAGAATTAGCCTGTGGCATCTGATCATTAGAACTGCAAGGGAACCTAGGACATAATCATTATTAGTGAGGCATGAAACCTCACTAGTATGAAATAATCTGCAAAATGAACATAAACATTAAGACATGGTTATTTTAGGAAAAAAAAATAATTGGGGCTTGGCATTGGGGCACACACCTTTAATCCCAGCACTCAGGAGGCAGAGGCAGGAGGATCTCTGTGAGTTCAAGGTCAGCCTGGTTTGTATAGCGAGCTCCAGGACAGTCAAGACTATGTAGTAAGACCCTGTCTCGAAACCAAAAATTCTTTGTGTTTGTTATTGGTTTGCAGGACGTTTGGTGTGAAGATTCAGGCTCAGAAATGAGTGAGACAAGGCTGTAAGGACAATACACGCGGCTAAGTCTGAAAAGAAAGAGCCCATCCTCCCTGGCAATGCTGAGTGAGAAGGGAAGGGACAAAGTACTCAGGATGAAGTGATGATAATATCTTATTATAGTCCTTGATTCTAAGTAAGAGACAGAAGATGTGTAGCCTTGGGAAGCTGAAAGCATCGATACCATCTCTAGGATTGGGTATCCATGACAGAGGTCTTATGGCTTTTTAAGGAGAGAGACTACATGCAGACAGGGACATACAGCTGCTTCCGTGTTGACAACATGAAGCCAGGGGTCCTCCCCAGAGCCTGCGCCAGGCTCTCTGGATTTCTGGTCTCCAAAGCTGCGAGTCACACAAACCTCATTAATCCATAGAGCAGCCCTCCCTAGGTATTATCTTACAGTAACAAAAACCTAGTGGCCTACAGCAGCACCCTCGGCTGTCCTTTTAGGTAACAAATAAGCTCAGAGGACTGGAGGACTCCTGCCCCACGCTAGAGTCACAGGATTAGAAACATAAAAGTGGTCGTTGTTTTAATCTATTACATTTTGTAATGATATAGTAACATATTAATTACATAAAGATATTTATTACTACAACATAGAAAAAACTTACTGGAAGAGGTAAGGTGGGTGCTGGGGACAGCTCAGAGTCCTGGAAGCCATGGGCTGAACTAATGGCCTGGCAATGCCTGCCTGGACTGGTGTCTCTTTTCTGACTCCTTTTTTTTTTTTTTTTTTTTTTTTTTTTTTTTCCCCTTTCCCAGAACCAAGATCCTTAACACCTTGCCCTGGGCTCTGTCCTTAAGCCTCATATTTGCCGTTCCCTCCTTGGAGGAGGTCATCAGATTTTATAGACAGAAAAAAGTGTCTGCTTTCTCAGGGGCCCTGGGTCAGGAAGGGTAATGATTACAGATGCTTGTATTGAAATACCCAGTGAGATCTGGGTGAAGTTAACTCGTAAGATATTAAATGACTGGGAAGTTCCTGGTTTTTGATCAGGAAGCTGCAGACCTAACCTAGGGGATCCAGGGTGGCTTCCAGGAGTCAGTGAGACCTGAAGGAAGGCAGAGAAGTTTGGTTCCATTTGTAAAGTGCGCAAGTTAGCACCACTGGCTGACGAGTGGCTTTGATATAACTTCTCCATTGCACAACCTTTGCAACCTGTCTTGCATTGTCATGGTCATAGGATGACTTAATATTTCAAACAAACTTAAGCACACAAAGAGCAAAAAGTAGCAACAAGGATAAATTAACTATTAAACCCCAGATCACACTGGTTGAATGATGGCAGCTGAGCCACCCACCGCACTATTACAGATTCTATTCATTTTGCTGAATGTGATGCACAGGATGGTGAAGCCGGTGCTCACTGGGTACCAACTGTCTTGAGCATCAAATGTCTATGGAGCCAGGATGCTGACTCAGCCATTCTGCAGGTGAAGAAGTTCAGAGAGGGAAGTGCAGGAATCTCCCACACCAAAGATAGCAGATAGCAGTTTCTTTCTTCCTTCCTTCCTTTCTTTTTTTTTTTTTTTTTTTTTTTTTTTTTGGTTTTTTGAGACAGGGTTTCTCTGTGTAGCTTTGGAGCCTATCCTGACACTCATTCTCACAGAGATCCGCCTGCCCCTGCCTCCCGAGTGCTGGGACCACCAGCGCCCGGCCAAGATAGCAATTTCTAATTCCCCAGGGACCATGCATGCATGCTACCTTAAATGGAAATGTATGTTTGCAGTGTGGTGAATGCTGTTTAGACGGAGAGTTTAGCCTGATTGTCTAGGTAAGGAATCCTATGGACACTGATAAAAGAACTATACAGGGAGATGTCATGTCACCCAGAGAACTGATGGCAGAGATCGGAGTGGTGTGGCTACACCAAGGAATGACTGAGGTCACCAGACGGTGGAAGAGACAAGGAATAGATTTTCCTCTGGAACCTATTAAGACGGAGTCAGCCTTCCAACACTTTGACTTTAGTGCAGTGAACCTGACCCTTGACCCATGGCCTCCAGAATTTCAGGGGAATGAAGTTCTCTTGCTTTGACCTGCTGAGTCTGGGGTGACTCAGTACAGCAGGCACAGCTGGCATCAGGTGGTGGCCCCCAGTCCTTGAACAGAAACCCAGAGCACAGCGGCTCTGAATGTCCCTCCAGCTCCTCCCCCCCCCTCCACTGCCTGCTCGGAGTCCCTGCTCACCGGCATGTATCGGCCATTGTAGGTGCAGCCGCAGTCGTGGGCAGGAATGCACACACCCTGGGAGAGCAGGAAGTAATCATCACACTCACAGCCTTCAAAACATTGAGTGGTGCATTGGGTGAGGCCAGCGAGAGCCGCACAGGAGCCCTGGCAGGAGCCTGTGCACACAGAGTAGTGGCTGTGGGCCGGACACTGGAGAGCTGTAGGGAGAGGAGGCAAAGGTGGTCACCGCTGCTGAAGGACACTGGCTAACTTGAATTACTGACCTCCTATCCCTGGCCAGGATGGTGAATACTGAAGGCAGCCCCCAACCCTGTTGTACAAAGCTCACATCCGGGTTTACAGACAGCTATAGCTGCCCTGGTGCATTGTGGGAGAACAAGCAGAGGAGTCTGTGAAGAAATCTGATAGAGTCAGGCCTGGAAAATGCAGTGCTGGGGTAGGATGGAAAGGCATGGAGGAAGGGTGAGGTTTGATTCAGGGGATCAGTCGTAAGACAGGGATGGGACGCGGAGGCCCAGGAAGAGGGTGGGGTGGGATATAGCAGGCAGGCAGACTGTCAAGGTGGGTTGGGGAGGTGAAGAGAAGACTGGAGTGGCATTGGGAGTCTCTGACAGTGCTGAATTGGGATTGGGGGCCAGGCAGGGTCTCCAGTTGAGACAGGAGGTACAAGCAAAGGACTGGGATGGCACAAGAATGGGTTTGAGGATGGGGCGAGAGAAAGGCAAGGATAGTGAAAGACACAGGGATATCAAAGATATCAAAGGCACTGGGCTCCAAGTAGCATTGCGGGCTGGTGTGGCTATCATCACATGGCCCCTGGGTCAGAAGAGAAGGATCAGGCTTGGGGTGAAGTTTGTTTCAGTTGGAAATGCAGCAGGTAGAGTGATGTTAAGGACCACCAGGTCCAGAGAGCACAGGGTACATGGGCCTAGCTTACTGTTTGAGCTAGAGTTTGTCTACAGTCAAACCCAGATTGTTTCAATGCTGATGGGTAGATGATGACCCAGGGTCTATTTCCCTGTCTAGGAGACTGAAGGAGAAGTGGGCTCTTCACTGCAGCACCAGGGACCATTGTTTTTGCATGGGGCATCTGAGGGGACCTGTTCCCACCCTGTGATTTGAAAGGAGGTATTGTCTTGGATTGGGGAATCTATTGCCTATGGCCTTGATCTGAACACATGAGAGGCTACTCGGTCTGAGGGAGGGCTCAACTCAGGACTCTCGTGGGCTCTCAACCCATCCACTTCCCTTCCCGGTCACTCCAGAAAGCTGGGAACAGCCCTGGGAAGAGGTAAGATGAGGTCTGGAGGGAGTGGACTTTTGACTGGAGTCTGAAACCCCCGAGCCAGAAGTACAGTGGGAAAACCACAGCGAATGCTAGGGCAGGGCTGGAGGAGGCCCTGTCACAGGTAAGATTTCTCCAGGTCCCAGGAGGTCCCAAGAGGGGTCCCCAGACACTCACGGCAGAAGCTGTCTGTCCTCCAGGGCTTCACGGTTGCACCAGCTGCCTGACAGGCTGCGGTATAGGCCGCCAGACTACGGCAGAGGTATACTTGGTTGCCCTTATGGGCACACAGCTCAAATACACATTGGTGGAAGTATTCTGTGGTATTTAGAACCTGGTGGCAGTCTGCGAAGGGGCCGTTGGGGTTCCAGAGCAGTCCACAGGCCTCGTTTTTCTCGTATGCTTCTCTCTTCTCTGCCAAGCACACAGGGCAGCCTTGGGGCCCACAGCCTTCACCACAGCCCAGCAAGGAGCCAGGAGCTCGCCACGCGGCTCCAAAGGCCTGCACGTTGGGGGCCAATGTGCCACTGGGCAGCATAAGGTCATCGCTTTGGTTCCCGTTGAAGTTCCCGCAGAGGCCACAGAGACGTCCATGGAAGGGACTAGGGATAGACATGAGGATGTGGTTATCACCATCAAAGAGAATCTTCAGCCCCCTTTTCGTCTGCAGAAGCATGTTTCGGCTCTCAATAGTTATATACAAGGAGCTCACAACCACAGGCAGGGTCACGCTTTCGCTGTCCACCGTCACCTAGATGGAAATGTCAATCAGGTTGGCAGTGAGAGCACATCAATAAGGAAGGGCCCTATTGCTCTGCCATAGAATTTTGTCTCTGTTAGACCCTCATGGATGGCGAGGTACTTTTTAGTTGGAGTGCAGTGAGGTCAATTTAGACACCCGGGGTAGGGATAGAGCCATGTCTCCAGTAGCTTTCAGGGTGGGACACTCACTTGCCAAAACACCAGGTTCTGTGGTGCTCTCAGGACTCTCAAGTTTGTCAATGTCCTCTAAGACCCTCCAAGGTAGGGGCATGACTCCAGATGGCCAGTATGTGGGCCTGTGTCCTCATCAGAACCGTTGTGTCCACTTACCTGCGGTCCTTGAGCCAGGACCACTACATGGCTTGCTACAGAAACCACCAGTCGCTGGGGTTCACCAGCCAAGTTCTTCTCAAGCACAATGGAAAACTCCTCATCTCCAGGTTTCGGGTAGCAAACTTGTGCCAGGATGTAGGAGCAGGAACCATGAAGGTCATACACCAATCCATCAGGTGTAGCAAAATGGACGCCGTCGAGGACCAGCATTAATTTAGAACTCTTGGCATGGCAGGCACGGATGCCATCCACTAATTGACACTCCTCATGGATACCACAGGTCTCAATCTGGCAGGTGACATGCCCATCTGCCTCACACTCACAAAACCACTCACACTCAGGGCCTGGGTAGAATGTGGCACCTAGCAGGTAGTAGCGTCCATTGTAGAGGCAGCCACACTGGCCCACAGGCACACAGGTGTCACCACTGAGCACAAAGCCAGAGTCACAGACACAGCCCTCACGGCAAGTGGTTTCACAGCCCTTGGGGGCCTCCAGGCTTGGGCAGCTCACAGGGCAGGAGTCACCACAGAGTTCATAGTGACTGTTGGCAGGACATTGGAAGGCTGTGGGGACAGAACAAGGAAGAGTCAGGCAGAGGCGACGGTGGGAGCAGAAGGGCTTGTGTGTGCGAGCCTGCCTGAGATGCCAGTGCCCCTGGCTTGGCATGGGACTTGACATGTAACAGGGGCACTGATTTGGGATCAGATGTCGGGGTGTGACCAGGTCTCCCTGAGAAGAGTGTGTCACCCTGACAAGTACTTCTAAGTCAAGTGACTGTCTGGGGAATATAACCACATACATCTGACCAGAACAGACTAGAAGTGACCACGGCCATATTGGTGTGTTCGTGACCAGGGACCCATGTGTGTGGGAGATCAGCCTGACGGTGCCAACTTGAGGGTGCCAGGGTGTATGTGATTGGTTGACACTGACAGGGTGGACCCGACCCAGCAGATCTGCCAGGGACAGGTCCAGATTCCAGCTGAGGGAGTCTGATGTCTGGCCAGTGTGTGACAGCCGTGTAGTTTCTCTCCAGACACCATTTGGCTCTCTGACCACTTCTGTGTGTATAGCCGTAGTCCAGTGTGGGAGATGCTCCAGGGAATTCTGACCGGGTATAAGTCACTTGGCCTCTGACGGGTTTCTTTCTGAGTAACAGTCACTGGGTCATATCCAAGTCCACTAGCAAAATGAACCCGCAGAGTGCTGTGCACCCAGGCTTTGTGACTTTGGGTGTGTAACTGGGTCCTTCCCTACCCCACTGGTGTTTGTCATTGTTAGTACTGGGTGTATCTCTGACGGGAGGTGGGGATGGACCTGGAAAGAGCTGGAGGAGACTGTGTGTGTGTGTGTGTGTGTGTGTGTGTGTGTGTGTGTGTGTGCGTGTGTGTAGCTGCTCAGGGCAAGTACTCACGACAGAAGTCTGGCTTCCTCCACTCCCCAAGTTGGGCCCCAGCAGCCTGACAAGCTGCCACATAGGTGGCCACAGCAGGACAGAGGCCTCCTGGGTGGCCCTGAACCTGACAGGCATCCAGCAAGCAAGCCTCGAAGTACTGCGTGGGTGGCACGAGGCTGTGGCAGGGTGCTAGCGGGCCTTTGGGGGCGGAGATGATGCCGCAGGCGTCGGGGCCACGGAAGGGTTCCTGTTGCTCGGGTGTACAGGGCTTTGGGCAAGTCCCAGTCACACACTGGTCACAGTCTGGGGCTCCGCCCACCTTCCAGCCCTCTGGTTTTCCATCTACTGCCTTCAGGTCATCATTGGGATTTTTGTTGTAGTTCCCGCACAGGCCACAGAGGGCGCCCGCATAAGCTGCAGGCACGTACAGGCGCACGAAATTGTCCTCAAAAACCAGGGAGACCTCTGAGGTGGTGTTTACCACCACACCTGAGCCGCTCAGGTGAGCGAGCAGTCGTGAGTCCAGATGGAAAGGCAGGGTTATCATCTCTCCATTCACCTGTAGATGTGGGAGGGAGGAGTCAGTTGAGCTGTGTCCATACAAGGTTCTAATCCAGTCAACAACATTCAGTATCATTGATCTTAAGCACATGACCGCTGGTTATAATAACAGTAAACAGACCAGTGACATTTGCTCTTTGTGCTACGGTGAAGTAGGTACTTCCGGCAGCCCACCCTACAGAGGAATAATGGAAGACTGAGCCTGGGGAAGCCATTGCTTCCAGCCTTCCAGGTCCCATACACTGTAGACTGACCCAGCACCTGCCAAGCTGGGAAAGGTGCTTTGGGGAATGATCCACCCCTCATTCTCTCCTGGACAACAGAGGCTTCATGACCCACAGCCCACTCACCTGTAGCCGCCTTGGCCACTGGGCACTGAGGGTCAGACTGAGGCCATAGATATGCAGAGTGATGAGGCGGGTATAGCTGATAGCCTGGCTGCCCCTGTGCTCATTAGTCACAGTGACTTTGAAATATTCAGTCCCTGTGGGTGGTTCTTGGCAGGGCGCGCTCAGCAGATACTCGCAGGTGCCTTGGAAGTCAAACTGGTGTCCATCTAGGGTGATGTAATGAGGATCACCCAAGATCAGGCACATAGCTATGCTTGTAGGTTGGCAGCTGAGCTGGCCAGAGGGCAACAAGGCACACTCCTCATCCGGTCTGCAGCTAGCAGATGTGCAGACCAAGGAGTCACCTCCAGGTCCACAGTGACACTTCTTAGAGCAGGTGGCATCAGTCCAAAACTCAGTGCCTGCTTCATGGTATGTGCCATTGACCCAACAGCCACAGCCACCATCCAGGGGAACACACTGTTCAGCGCTCAACACGAAGCCCTGGTCACACTGGCAGCCCTCCACACAGGGCCCGTCACATGCAGCTGGGGCTGTGTGGCGTGCAGGGGGTGGGCAGCTGGCCGGGCAGGGTGGGCCACAGAGCTCATAGTGGCTGTTGTCAGGGCAGGAGATCTCTGTGGGAAGATGGAGGGAAGGAGAGAAATGAAGAATGTCGTCAGAGCGGCCTCTGGGGACAGAGTGGAAGAAGACATCAGCAGAGACAGAAGGGGACAGGGAGCCTTACAGATCCAGTGTCACAGTCAGGGAGGAAAGCTGAGACAAAGTAGAGAGATGGCAGAGAGGTAACGAGCTGGGGACACACTCAGACACAGCGACAGACAGAGACAGCAGGAAGACCCCAAACTGTGGGAGTGGAGCTAGCCCAGCCCTTGCCCTGATCCTTGCCACTCACCACAGCCAGCCTGAGTCCTCCAGTCCTTGATTCGGATGCCAGCAGCCTGGCAGGCAGCAGCATAAGAAGACAGTGCCTGGCAAAGTATGTCTTTGACTTGACCACCCAAGCAGATGTCCAGCACACAGCTCTTGAAGAAGCTCTCAGGAGGTACATGGGCATGGCAGTTGGAGAAGGGGCCCCCTGTGTCAGGAGCCAGAGGTCCACAGTAGCCAGGACCCTCATACTCCTCCATTCGGTCTTCTGGACACATTGGACAGGAACCCTGACATTCATGCCAGCAAAGAGGGTCCCACCCTGGAATTTGCCAGCTGCCACCCCAGATGGGTATGGAGGGTGCCACTGTGCCGTTAGGGAACACTTGGTCGTTTTGGGGGTTTTTGTCCATGTTTCCACAGAGCCCGCACACTGCACCGTGGTAGCTACTGGGCAGCGTGACCTCTACTCTCCAGTTCCAGTCATAAGTGACCTGAAGCCCGAAATCGGTCTGCAGGACAACCTTGGAGCCCCCGTGAACCACTGAGATCCGCCCACCAGCCAGGTAGACAGGCAAGTTCTGCAGAACTCCATTCACCTGGGGAGAGAGGGAGGCGGATGGCACAAAGGAAAAGAGCCCGTGGAGCTGTGGCCCCTGCTATCTTGGTTCCCTCCCTCCTTCTGCCAAGGGCTTACTCTTGACTGTCATTATGGTCAACACCAGCTCTCAAGAACAACGCCTGGCATCAGAATCTATTTTAGATCTCTTGATTGGTCGAGAGTCCAAATCTGGCCTCCTTCGGGTACTTGAGCAACCATCCCGCTGCACGTACCTGGACTCTGCCAATCCCCTTCTTGTGGATGCCAATGCTGGAGTTGTAGGTAGTCACGGTGACCCTCCTCACATTGGATACAGCAGGATTGCCCTGGCTCTCGTGCTTGGTGGCAACCGTGAAGGGGGTCAGCCCGTTAGCGCTGAGCCCAGGACAGACACTTCCTGCCAGCAGGTAATTGCAGGTTCCATGGAAGTTAGTGTTCAAGCCATCGAAGGACTGATAGTGTGGGTCTCCCCATACCCTGCATTTGGCCTCGTAATTGGGTGTGCACACACCCTTGCCATTTTTCACTGTGCATGTTTCCTGTGACCGACAGGTGACACCTTGGCATAGGTCTGTGGAAACAGGAGACACGTTCTTGGGGGGCTGCCTACCACAGCCTGCCTGCTCCCGGAATCTAACTCAGGATGTACCAGGAATATTGGTTCTGAACGTTACCACAGGGGAGACCAGATTCCCAGCACCGGTCCTGACACCTAAGTCCTGAGTCCTAGGGTTGCTGTAGAAAAAGTCAGAGAGATGTCTCAGTAGTTCAGAGCACTTGTTGCTCTTGAGGAAGACGTGGGCTCAAAGTATCCACACGGAGGCTCGCAGCCATCTGTCACTCCTTGGGACCAACACCTTCTGACTCTAGCTCTCTGTTCTTAGGCTCAAGGCCTTAGTTTGAGATTTCCTGGTGAAATTTCTGTGTCTAGGGCCCCACCAATTCACACTTTGACTCAGTCCCCAATCTAAATCTCATGGCCTGAGGAGCGAGCTCCATTCGTGGGGGGTGGTGTCTTCTGCCTTAGGAGTCTCGTTACTGAAGCTTATCTTGGAAAGCATCCATGTCCAAGACTCCATGTTAGTGTCACCATATCCGTGTCTCCAGGTATGGAATCAACATACACGCTCTGACCCTAGGCATCCAGCCTTCCAACTTGCTCCCCTGCCCTGTTTCCTATTTGAAATCAGCCTGGAAGCTTTGTCAGCAGAGGGCGCTGGGGAGTCTCGGAGGGATCCAGCAGCAGCTAGTGCTCCATGGGGCCTGTGACAGGCTCAACACTGGCTATTTATTTATTTACCTAGCCATACTAGGTGGCTGCTTCCAGTTGATTTTCTCGGGCACTTGCAAGGGGTAAGGGTTCGTTCGCTCCTGCAACCTCAGCCTGCAGGATCCGCTGCCACCCAGTGGCTGCAGCGGTGTCTACTCCAGTGAGGTCGGAGGTAAGCTTAGGGTGTGGCATTTCCCAATCCTTGCCTTCCTATGTGGTGAAGGAAGCCTGAAAGCGCCACTCCATATATCTTCTGTGGCTTGTGTGGCTTGAGTTTCTCGTTACCCTGTAACAGTCCACACTGGCAGCACCTTTGCCCAGCTCTAGGGCTGTACATGCAATCCAGGGTGCTGTGCATGCCAGGCAAGCACTGAGCCCCATCCCCGAACACGTAAACCACTCGCCACATTAGGCTGCCTTCTGATTTGACCCTGATCAATAGAACCCACTCCTCAGCGACTCTGAAATCCTCCTCATCATCATCATCATCTCTGACTGTCTCGGCTCAGTCCTCAGCTCTGGGATTATTCTTTTACTCATTGCAGGGGAGGGTTGCCTTCCAGGGAAAGTGGTGTGAGGTTAAAATTGCATCCCTGAGTTTGGATGAGTGGGGCCCCTGCTTGAAGGGGACCCCCGTAGTCTAGGTTCTTTCTTTATTTTGTCTCTGACTCTGCCCTGGGATCAATGACCTTCAAAACTCAGAGCCCCGATTTCCCAGTGCCCTGACCCTTGATGTTGGTGTTGGAAGCCCCGTTTCAAATCCGATGAGTTAGTGGCCAAGGAAGCATAGGACCCTCTGGTGTTGGTGGTTGTAAATGAAGCTGTGTTGCAGTGAGCAGCTGTGCTCCAAGGCATGTAGCTTGCAAACTTAAATAATTATCATTGCGTTTTTTTTTTTTTTTTTTTTTTTTTTTTTTTTTTTTTCCATAACAGTTTTTCTCTTTTTACTGGCACTCACTCTGGAGACCAGGCTGGCCTCCAACTCACAGAGATCCGCCTGCCTCTGCCTCCCGAGTGCTGGGACTAAAGGCGTGCGCCACCAACGCCCGGCTCATTGTGCATTTGAGAGAAAAAGTTCAGCAGCCCGGCAGTCCTCCAAAGGCCTTCGACATGCACCATCAAAATCTTGCCCCGAGCTTACCTCAGCCTCAAATCCCTTAAGGTTCCTTGACACCCACACTGGGTGACCTCTGTCCTTGGCTCCTGGAATCCCAGCCCAAGGCCTGACACCTCAATCCACAGCCCTCTGCTCCTCTCACCGTTAAGTTAGGCTACCCTCAGCTCCTAGCCCCTGTCCTGCCTGCCCCCAGCCCCGCTGCACGGTACCTTTGGTGATGCAGGTCAGGACGCCTCCTGAGGGCTCGCACACCTGTCCTGGCTTACAGCTGTGATCTTTGCACACCATCCCTTCTCCTGCATGGCACACACACTGCTGCTGGCAATTTTCAATGAGAACTGACTCCTCTGGCTGTGGGGACAGAGGGCATGCCGTCAGTAACCGGAGGGTTGCGCCGACTCTGGCGTCTCCAGTGTTCCAGGCAACTCTCGCAGTGGGGTTCATTGTCAGGGACACTGAGGCCCAGTGTAGCTTTGAGGCCCAACTCATCCGTTCGTTTTAGTCATTCACTCACCCACTCGTTGTAAAATACGCACTGTTTAGGAGAAGTGGAGTTAAGCAGTCAATAAAAACAAAGGCAGGCCCGCACAGTGGTGTATGCCGTTATCATATCGCTAGCGAGGCTGAGACAAGAGGATTGCTGAGAGTTTGAGGCCAGTCTGGACTACATAAGTAAGTCACTTAGGACCATATACCAAGACCATCAAAACAACAACAAAAGAAGCAGAGCAAAGTCTCTGGTGCAGCCTGCTCTTTCCAAACTCTAGACAACATGACTTAATGTCTTTGTCTCACTTTCGTCGTCTGCAGACCGTAGATAATAACAGGACAGAACTAAGGCAACACAACCGAGTTAACACGATGTGTAAAGTACAGGCGAAAGCAAAGAGACACGCTTCAATAATCCCGGCTGCTCCATAAAGGGTAACGGCGAGGCGAGTCAGGGGAAAAGACGACTATTGCTAAAGCTAAGTGATGCGTGGGTATACGGTGATATGTTTGACTGTGTATGTGCTGTATGAGCACGGCGATATATTACACCATTCTCTTAACATCACGCCTTTGATTTCATAGTGAAAAGTCTCTGTCTGTGTAATGCATATATGTACATCAGACAGGTCCGTGGTCAGAGCCACCCACGCATTTGCTTCATTGCTGTTGTTTACGGGAGGAGAAGTACAGTGAGGGGATTGCTCTCAGAATCTTCTCAGTTCTATAAACAAAGCAGAGTTTCACACACACGCACGCACGCACACACGCACGCACACACACGCACACACGGGAGCACGTGCGTGCTCGCTCGCTAAGGCAGCAACACACGGGAGCACGTGGGTGCTCGCCCGCTAAGGCAGCACCCGTGTCAAGGAGCAGGAGGAGGAATCGGAGGAAATGAGCAGTTGCTATAACACAAAATCTCCTCTTTGTGGTCATGAGGCAGAGAGAACACATCTCTCCTTGGAGCACTGAGCAGCTGTTATTACTGGGACTGGAGAGATGGCTCCGTGGTTAAGAGCCCTGGCTGCTCTTCCAGAGGACCTGGGTTCAATTCCCAGCACCTACATGGTGGGCAGCCCACAACCATCAGAACTCCTGTTGCAAAGGATCTGATGCCCTCTTCTAGCCTCTTTGATGACACCCACCAGGAGCACACATGGTGCACAGGTACAGAAGCAAACAGAACTCTCGTCCATAAATGTAACAAATCTTAAAAGCTTTTATAGTCATGTTGTTAAGATAAATTATTTGTTTTCTTATTGTAAGTGCTCTTTCTGGTGTTAATTTGCTTGCAATTAAGGAAAGATTTGGGAGGATCAGGTAATTTGACTCCTGCTTAGCAGCTATTGGACTTTCTTTTGCTGCTGCAGCTTCCTTGAGCAAAAGGACTGTCACTCAAAGGAGCCAGCCAGACTAAGCTCATATCAGCGCATGTGGTCTTGAGCACTCCATGGAGTTGAGGAGAATGTTATAGCTGGTTGTTCTGGCCCCTGAAAGGGTGGTTTGAGCCAAGGCTTTTGGGTTGTTTGTTTGTTTGTTTGTTTGTTTTTCGAGACAGGGTTTCTCTGTGGCTTTGGAGGCTGTCCTGGAACTCGCTCTTGTAGACCAGTCTGGTCTCGAACTCACAGAGATCCTCCTGCCTCTGCTTCCCAAGTGCTGGGATTAAAGGCGTGCGCCACCAACGCCCAGTAGACTTTTGGTTTTTATCAGACTTTTCCCTATCACAGATCTCTGTGAATGCTCCATGATTCTATTCTCATTTCTAGGCCAGAGGGCAAGTGCTTCCCCCCATGGTGACTGTCATTGGCTGGTGCTGAAGAGGCAAAGCTGTGATTGGTGCAAAGGCCCCTGCAAGGCAATGGATACATGCTACTCAGCACCCTTGGTGAGTCAGCTGGGAGACAGGCTGGTCCCCTGTGCCACCTTCCATGGTGTTGGAAGAGGGCAAATAAAAGGCCTCCTCTGAGGGGGCTTCTTTTTGCCTGCTTTTCAGTATTGAGGGATGAGCCAGCAACAGGAAGAAAGCAACAAAATAGATACAGAGGGCAGTGGCAACAGAGATAACGGAGAGACAATGGCAGCAAGCAGCCTGCAAGCTCAGGTGTAAAAGCCGCAAAGCTTGACAGCAGAAGAGGCCAGCTGAGCTGCTGGGGGGGGCTGGCTGCTTGCCAACTGAAGGATGGGTGCAAGTGCCCAGTGAGGATAGAGTGGGTGGCAGAATTAGGGAAGACGAAGAATGGGTCCAGGGAGGAGAGGATGCTATAAAGAGCTAGAAGAGAAACAGCAGGCTCTGGTTGCTGGAAGTGTCCTAGAGTGCTTTTCATCCAAGGGACTCTCATCCCCCAGGTGCAGGGTGGAACACTGGCTGCTGCTAAGGGACCTTTCACCTCTCAGGCCTTGTGACACTTCCAAAGCTAAGAGTCTTGTTACCCAAGCCTGAACCAGAGCTGTGACACTAGAGGCCACCACCTGCCTGCTTGCTGACGTCAAGCACCTGTGGATACAAAGTACCCAGGATAGCCCCGCTGTGGCAGAGCTTGCCTTTCATCCCAGCACTCGGGAGGCAGAGGCAGGCGGATCTCTGTGAGTTTGAGGCCAGCCTGGTCTACAGAGTGAGTTCCGGGACAGGCACCAAAACCCTGTCTCGTAAAACCAAAACCCAAAACAAAACAAAAAAAGAGTGCCAGGGTCATCACTTACAAAGCTTCCCCTTTCTCCCACATATCTCTATCTCAGCAGAGCGGAAGGACTCTGCCCAGCTGACTGACAACAGGGGAGGCATCTTAGCCCAGACACAGCACAAAATGGTTAAGTCTTGTCTTTGGGAGCTGGGGAGAGTTTAAAACATCACTGCCCACAGTGACATTTGGAAAGAACTTTTCCAGTGCCACAAGGAGGGTAGACCAAAGGGAGGGAAATTAAGGACTGGATGAGGACAAGGTATACCCAGTCAGGGTAAGTGAAGGGGACAGACGTGGGCTGAGAGATAGAGTCAGAAGGTTGAATGGCAGGAAAGGCCGTAGTGCTGATGATGGGGGGGGGGGTTGGTTCAGGAGGAAGTTCCAGGTTCCGTCAAGATGGCTGGGCTCCTACCTCATAGAAGACTCCATTGTAGTGGCAGCCGCATTTCTCCATGGGCACACAGCCTGTGATGCCTAGCAGGTAGTCATTGTCACATTCGCAGCCCTCAGCACAGGTGTCTGGACACGCTATTGGGGTGGTGATGGTCGAGCAGCCCAGGGAGCAGGTGTCTGCGCAGACCTCATAGTGGCTGTGAGGGGGGCACACCATTGCTGCAAGAAGAAAATGCAGGGTGGGGGTGGGGATTCTACTCGGGTCTCTACCCCAAGCCCCTGCTCCCTACCCCTCAATGCCCTGTAACTCACGGCAGAAGGTTTCGGTCCTCCAGGGCTCCACTTTCCCTCCCGCTGCCTGGCAGGCGCTCACATAGGCGTGGATGTTGTCACAGAGAATGCTCTGGTTCCCGCCACCCAGGCAGAGGTCAAAGACACAGTCTTTCAAGGGACCCTGGGGGTCCAACAGCTTGTGACAGGCAGCCAGCGGTCCCGTGGGGCTGGCGAGCAGCCCACAGAACTGTACTCCACCATACTTGTTCTCCAGCTCAGGGCTGCACGTTGGTTTGCAGTCTTGTCCTGGTTTGCAGGCGGGCGGGAGTATGCAGGGAGAGTCTGGCACAGCATGTTGCCAGGAGTTACCCAACTCAGTGGGACTGGCTGCCTGTGAGCCATCGGATTTCTGGAAGTCATTCTTGGGGTCATCGTTGTAGTCCCCACACAGGCCACACATGTGTTTGTAGTAGTTATGGGGGATGGTGACACGCACATTGTTGTTGAGATCGTAGGACACGAGCAGGCCAAATTTGGTCTTGATTACCACATCTATGCCATGCTGGAAGGCCTGAACACTGTTGTCATCTAGCAAAACGGGCATCTTCATGTCCACACCGTTCACCTGGAAGCGGGGAACGCCAAGCTTCAAAGGGCATGCTTTGAGGCCGTCCGTCACTAAATATCCCCAGTCTGTCCCTAGATGTCCCTGTCTGACACTGAAATCTGGAGTGACTTCATCTTTCTGGCCCTCAGTTTCCATATTTGTAAAATATGTATACTAACAGTGTTTTTTGTTTTGTTTTTTTGTTTTTGTTTTTGTTTTTTTGAGACAGGGTTTCTCTGTGTAGCTTTGGAGCCTATCCTGGCACTTACTCTGGAGACCAGGCTGGCCTTGAACTCATAGAGATCTGCCTGCCTCTGCCTCCCGAGTGCTGGGATTAAAGGCATGCGCCACCAACGCCCAGCTTACTAACAGTGTTTTATCCTAGCCAGGACCTTGAAATGTGACCATATTTGGGAAAGGGTCTTTGTTGGAGTTACAATAAGTTACAATCTTGACATGAGAACACCATGGATCAAAATGGTCCCTTAACCCAATGACAAGTGTCCTGTGAGGCATCGGAGTAGGACAGAGACCACAGAGAGGGTGGCATGGGAAGACCCAGTACTCAAGATGGAGTGTTGACCCTGTAAGCCTAGGGACATTCTGGAGCCGCCAAAAGCCTGGAGAGGCAAGAAGGCTCCTCCCCTGCAGCCTCTGGAAGGGGTGTGGCCTTGTAGCCATCTTGACTTCAGATTCCACACCCAGAACTGTAAGAATATAAACATATGTTATGTTAAAAAAAGTTTGGGCCGGGCGTTGGTGGCGCATGCCTTTAATCCCAGCACTCGGGAGGCAGAGGCAGG